AACCCCTCAGACAGAGACAAACACTTACAAGATCTCTATCAAGCATTCTTACAACTACAATACCCACTTGCTGAAGTGAAGAAACAGATTGACAGAGCCAGAAGAGTATCCAGAAGTCACCTACTACAGGACAGGCCCAACAAAGAAAGTAACAGAACGCCACTAGCCGTCACCTTCAGCCCCCAACTAAAACCTCTCCAGCGCATCATCAAGGATCTACAACCTATCCTGAAGGACGATTCCTCACTCTCACAGATCTTGGGAGACAGGCCAGTCCTCGCTTACAGACAGCCCCCCAACCTGAAGCAAATACTCACCAGCAACCACACAACAAAAACACTAACCCAGGAACTTATCCTTGCAACAAAGCCCGTTGCCAACTCTGTCCACATATCTATTCAGGGGACACCATCATAGGACCTAATCACATCAGCCACACTATCAGAGGCTCGTTCACCTACACATCTACGAATGTGATATATGCCATCATGTGCCAGCAATGCCCCTCTGCCATGTACATTGGCCAAACCAGACAGTCTCTACGCAAAAGAATAAATGGACACAAATCAGATGTCAAGAATTATAACATTCAAAAACCAGTCGGAGAACACTTCAATCTCCCTGGTCACTCGATTACAGAACTCAAAGTCGCAATACTCCAACAAAAAATCTTCAAAAACAGACTCCAACAAGAAACTGCAGAATTGGAATTAATTTGCAAACTTGACACCATTAAATTAGGCTTGAATAAAGACTGGGAGTGGATGGGTCATTACACAAAGTAAAACCTATTTCCCCATGCTAATATTTTCCCCCTACTGTTACTCACACCTTCTTATCAACTGTTGGAAATGGGCCATCCTAATCATCACTACAAAAGTTTTTTTTCCTCCTGCTGATAATAGCCCACCTTAACTGATTACTCTCATTATAGTTAGTATGGCAACACCCATTTTTTCATGTCCTCTGTGTATATATATCTTCCTACTGTATTTTCCACTGCATGCATCCGATGAAGTGGGTTTTAACCCACGAAAGCTTATGCTCAAATAAATGTGTTAGTCTCTAGGGTGCCACAAGTACTCTCATTCTTTTTGCTGATACAGACTAACACGGCTACCACTCTGAAACCTGTCAGCACTGAATGTCTTTTAGGGCTAACCCAGATTGACCCTGGGGATCTCTGCTTCTGGTTTGTAGCTCCAGCCCTGTGAGACTCCAAGCAGCAAAAGAGATGAAAAATTTTCTTGGTCAGCTATTTTTATTTCCCTTCTTCCAAAATTCAAGCTGATGGGATGAGCCCTTTTTTACATAGCCTCTTCCTGGATGTAAGGGGGCAATTAACAAAGTCTTTGTATTGTGATGTCCTATAATGGCCCGTTTAGTTTCTTGTTTCAGAGCAAACATTTTTTACAGTGGAAAAGTAAAATCTTAAATATTACTGTTGTGACAGACCCAGACCAGTGGGGTACAGGAGTCTGGTAGAGGGCAAATATACTGGTCACTGGATGAGTAGTTTTCTGTTCCCTGAGTGACCAGAGCAGGGGCTGCACTAGAGTAATCAGGAACCTGCTAGAATCAATTAAGGCAGGCTAATCAGGGCACCTGGGTTTTAAAAAGGAGCTCACTTCAGTTTGTGGTGGGAGTGTCAGGAGCTGGGAGCAAGAGGCGCAAGGAGCTGAGAGTGAGAGGGTGTGCTGCTGGAGGACTGAGGAGCACAAGCGTTATCAGACACCAGGAGGAAGGTCCTGTGGTGAGAATAAGGAAGGTGTTTGGAGGAGGCCATGGGGAAGTAGCCCAGGGAGTTGTAGCTGTCATGCAGCTGTTACAGGAGGCACTATAGACAGCTGCAGTCCACAGGGCCCTGGGCTGGAACCCGGAGTACAGTGCGGGCCCGGGTTCCCCCCAAACCTCCCAATTGACCTGGACTGTGGGTTCTTCCAGAGGGGAAGGTCTCTGGGCTGTTCCCCAACCCACATGGTGAATCTCTGAGGCAAGAAAGTCCGCCAATAAACGCAGGACCCACCAAGATAGAGGAGGAACTTTGTCACACTGTATAGCATGTGCAGGGCCGGCTCTAGGTTTGTTGCCACCCCAAGCAAAAAAAAAAAAACCTCCGGGAGCGCAACTGCCTTGGTTTGCTGGTGCCTAGAGTCGGCCCTGAGCATGTGATAAAGAAATTATAAGTGAGACTAACGCATGCAGCAGCTTACAAGCATTTCAGAAAGTCTAAACACTAAACACATGGTTATAAATCCAACAATACCCATCTCAACCATACTAAGGGCTAGTCTACACTGGCAATGTTAAAGCGCCGCCGCTGCAGCGCTTTAACGTGGCTTGTGTAGTTGCGGCAGAGTAGAGAGAGAGCTCTCCCAGTGCTCTAAAAGAACCACCTCCATGGGGGTGTAGCTGCCAGTGCTGCTGCACTGTATACACTGGCACTTTCCAGCGCTGAAACTTGCTGCGCTCAGGGGTTTTTTTTTCACACCCCTGAGTGAGAAAGTTGCAGTGTAGACAAGCCCTAACACACAGGGGAAACAGACTGGTTTCCAGCAATGAATTTGTCAGTGCTCAGCTGAGGCCTAAAGCTTTGGCAAGAGCTGGCACCTGGCCTGTCAGCATCACAGGCCCTCCTGTCCAGTGGTGGATTATCCAATGGGTCCACGGGGTCCATGCCCAGGGGCCCCAAAAAATGGGCACCCCAGCAGAAATCCGCCATGGGACGGCGGAAGCCCGGAGCCCTGGCAGAAGCCACGGGGTGGGCAGGGGAAGCCACGGGGTGGGCAGGGGAAGCCCCAGCACCCGGACCCCAGCTGTGGCCCCAGGACTGGAGGAGCTCTCACTCCCCGCTGTAGCCTTGGGGCCCTGGCGAGGGGACAGAGCTTCTCCAGTCTCAGGACCACAGTGCAGGGGGGCAGAAAGGAGTGAATGGGGGGTGGGGCTGCGAGGGGGGCAGAATGATTAGGGACTGTGGGTGAAACGGGGGTGGGGCCACAGGGGAAGGAGGTAGAGTGGGGACAGGGCTGTGGGGAAAGGGGCAGAATGGGATGGGGCCATGGGTGGAACAGGGCCAGGGCCATGGGGGAAGGGGCAGAAAGGGGTGGGGCTGTAGGCAGGGCCACCAGTGGAAGGGGAGGAACAGGGGTGGTGCCGCAGGCGGAAGGGGTGGGGCAGGGCAATGGTTCCAGCACCGGGGCCCACCCACTTGCTCTGGCCCAGGGCCCCAGGAGACCTCTGCTCCTAATGCCCAGCAGGATCCTAATGGCTCTCCCAGTAACCAACTCCTGCTCTTCACCTCCACACAATGTCCTGCTCCACCAAAAATTAACAGTGAAGACCTGAGACCTGGAGCAGGCTCCTGAGGCTATGACTTTACCCCTTATTCTGCTGCCGCCACTCCAGATTCTACCATTGCTGGTGTCATCTTCCATTAACTTCCCTATTTACATGCCAGACTTCCATGAATAGCTCAGACAGAAGTTATGGGCTTGCTGAAAAAATTACTGGGCGGGGTTCTCTGGCCTGTGTCCAGCAGGAGGTCAGACTAGAGGGTCATAATGGTCCCATCTGGCCTTAAAATCTATGACTAGTTTTTTCTGATATTTGACCAGCTCTGTGAATGATTTTCATGGGCTCTCCTTGCCTGGCACACACTGAGTAGCCTCCAGCACAGTAAGGCGCTACCCACCTGCATCTGAAGTTGTAGGAAAACTGACGTGCTATTATATTGTCCTTCATGGGAAATAGATGCCCGGGAGGCTAACAAGGTGCACAGATGTCACTGACGGAGGAATTTGATGCACACATTCTTTATTACTGGGGGTGATGAGAAAGATGGAAGGAACCCCAGAGATCACTCAGGACAGTCTCAGGGTAGCCGTGTTAGTCTGGATCTGTAAAAAGCGACAAAGAGTCCTGTGGCATCTTATAGACTAACAGAAGTAGTGAAGACTTCTGTTAGTCTATAAGGTGCCACAGGACTCTTTGTCGCTCAAGCCAATCTGCCACCCTAGGCAAAACTTCAGTGTGCCACCCCCCTCTTCATAGGCACTGGAGACGAGGGGCACCAAGGGCCACTGCCCCCCCCACTTTTGAGAACCTGAAGAAGGTGGGGGGGGACACACAGGTGCTGCCCTTGGCCCCTAAACCTTCCCTCCGCCATTACAGAGGAGCATCTGGGCCAAATTTGAGCGAGTGTTGTGGCCAGGAGCACGCTGCTCACAACACTGCTCAAAAAATCATTTCTTCCAGAAATCTGCCACCCTGGGCAACTGCTTAGTTTGCCTAAAGCTAGAGTGGCCCCCGAAGAACCCAGTTTGACTCTCAGATCCCAGGTTGAGTTTGCAAGGCTGGCAGCTAGAAAAAACAACAACTTTTACTATGTAAATAGCACATTTGAACTGGCGTCATTGAGACATAATAGACGTGGAAACCTCCTCAATACCTTTTATATAAAGACATTTTTCACGGTAGAAGTAGTTTGACATTTGAACCACTCAATACCAGCTAAATTATGCTAATATAGCCCTGATTAAGCAATCGTCATTACCACTGATTATCATTAGCACGAGCCAATATTCTCGTTTGAAAAGAGACCAAGTATGGAAAATTTCATCTCTGGAGATCTCAGAAATTATGAACATCCTAAAACATGAAGCTATTGTGGAAACTTGATTTTACATGACCTATAGATGACACCACTAGCATCCATGCTAATAATCAGTTGAAGCTAAAGCTATACGCCCATCATTCAGATATCCACCAACATCTAGCATTCTATCTTAAGGTTTTATCCTTCTGCCTATCACCTAGGATCTGAGCACCATCCAGTGAAATGTATTAGCAATAGCATAGTCCATAGTGAGATTCATGGAGCTGCTGATTTAGTTTTGGACATAAAAGCTCTGCTTGGGGTAGCCTTATGTTTTTGTTTGATTGGCTTGTGTGTGTGTTGTGAGAAGGGAATAATGAATCTTCTTTCGCTCTTTGTTTTTCAGACATTCATCGTCCTAAACAAAGGAAAAGCAATCTTCCGGTTCAGCACAACCCCGGCCCTATACATGCTGGGACCCTTCAATCCCCTCAGGAGAGGTGCCATCAAAGTGCTTATACATTCATATCCTTTCATAAATTAAACAGTAGTAAGTCACCAGGCCCAGATGGGATTCACCCAAGAGTTCTGAAGGAACTCAGATATGAAATTGCAGAACTACTAACTGTGGTATGAAACCTATCACTTAAATCAGCTCCTGTACCAGATGACTGGAGAGTAGCTAATGTGACACCATTTTTTAAAAAAAGGCTCCATCCAGGATTGCCTCGATCCTGGCAATTACAGGCCGGTAAGCCTAGACTTCAGTACCAGGCAAACTGGTTGAAACTATAGTAAAGAACAAAATTGTCAGACACATAGATGAACGTAATTTGTTGGGGAAAAGTCAACATGGTTTTTGTCAAGGGAAATCATGCCTCACCAATCTACTAAAATTCTTTGAGGGGGTCAACAATCATGTGGGAAAGGGGGATCCAGTGGATATAGTGTACTTAGATTTTCAGAAAGCCTTTGACAAGGTCCCTCACCAAAGGCTCTTAAGCAAAGTAAGCTGTCATGGGATAAGAGGGAAGGTCCTCTCATGGATTAGTAACTGGTTAAAAGATAGGAAACAAAAACATGGTCAGTTTTCAGAATAGAGAGAGGTAAATAGTGGTGTCCCCCAGGGGTCTGTACTGGGACTAGTATGTAGCATGGCAAGACTCACCGGTGAGGCGCCTCCTGCTGGTCGTCTTGGGAATTAGCTCAACTCCAGCTCCAGAGCTCCCTCTGCTGGCTGGTGACTCGCCTGCCTCAGGCCCTGTGTCCCTCCCGGACCGTGGTGCCCCTTTACCTCTGGGTTCTGCCCCAGCAGTACCCCACACTCTGGGTCTCCCCTCCCAGGGGAACCCCCAACCCTCTAAGCCCACCTTGCCTCAGTGGCTACTGCCAGTCATCATCTAGCCCCCGCTCCCTGGGGCAAACTGCAGTCTGTAATGGCCACTCATCATTGGCAAGGGGGTTGGACCAGCTGCCTCTGCCTACCCCCAGGCTACACCTCTTTAGCCCCAGTACCTGCCTTGGGCCTTTAACAAGGCCTGCAGTCTGGGGGTTTACCAGGCTGGATCTTCCCAGCTCCCTTTGCCCTTCCCCAGCACTGCTCCACTTCAGGTACCTTGCGCCCAGGCAGCTAGCCCTCCCACTCCAGGGCTTGAATGGGACTCCTGTCTACTGGCCCCACAGCCCTTTTATCCAGGCCAGCTGTGGCCTGATTAAGCCAGCCACACCTGGGCCAACTACCTCGCCAGCCTCCCTAAGTTGCACTTAATCCTTTTAGAGGTCTATAAAATCATGACTGGTGTAGAGAAAGTAGATAAGGAAGTGTTATTTACTCCTTCTCATAACACAAGAACTAGAGGTCACCAAATGAAATGAAGCGGCAGCAGGTTTAACACAAACAAAAGGAAGTATTTCTTCACACAACGCACAGTCAGCCTGTGGAACTCCTTGCCAGAGGATGTTGTGAAGGCCAAGACTATAACAGGGTTAAAAAAAGAACTAGATAAATTCATGGATGATAGGTCCATCAATGGCTATTAGCCAGGATGGGCAGGGATGGTGTCCTTAGCCTCTGTTTGCCAGAAGCTGGGAATGGGCGACAGGGATGGATCACTTGATTAGGGGGCTGGGGCACATGACTTACGAGGAGAGGCTGAGGGAACTGGGGTTATTTAGTCTGCAGAAGAGAAGAGTGAAGGGGGATTTGATAGCAGCCTTCAACTACCTGAAGGGGGTTCCAAAGAGAATGGAGCTAGGCTGTTCTCAGTGGTGGCAGATGACAGAACAAGAAGCAATGGTCTCAAATTGCAGTGGGGGAGTGTAGGGGACTCGACCCCCGGCAGGGTGGTTGGGCACTACACCGCCTCGCTACACCCTCTTTGCTGGGTTGGGGAATACCCAGTGTATGGCCCAGACCTTCAGGCAGGGCCCAGGGCTGCCCAGAGGGGGGAGCAAGTGGGACAATTTGCCCCAGGCCCCGGGCCCCACAGGGGCCCCCACGAGAGTTTTCAGGGACCCCCACGAGAGTTTTTGGTGGGTCTTCGGTGGCAGGTCCTTCAGTGCTGCCGAACACACCCGGAGCGAGTGAAGGACCCGCTGCCGAAGACCCGGAGCTTCTTCCACTCCGGGTCTTCGGCGGCAATTCGGCAGCGGGTCCTTCACTCGCTCTGGGACCCGCCGCCGAAGTGCCCCGAAGACCCGGAGCGGAAGGATCCCCGCCGCCGAAGACCCCAGACCCCCTGAATCCTCTGGGCGGCCCTGGCAGGGCCCGGCAAGCAGTACAAGATAAGCCCAGGCCCTGGGTCAGGGCGGGCAGCAAATAAACAGTCAGGAGCTCAGGCCCTCAGGCAGGGACTGAGCAAATAGTTCAATATAAGCCCAGGTCCTGGCTTAGAGCAACCTGGGGAAGGGGGAGACTGCCACCCGCAAGTTGGTGGCGGGGGGATGCAGGTCCACCCACTCCACTGTGTCCCAGCCCGGGGCCCTAGCAGCAGCAGAAGACCCGCTGCTGTGTCAGTGGGGATCCTGGCCGCAACACACTGACGTTGGCTCTGGCAGTGCTGCAGCCAGACTAGGGTCGGCTGCCCCCGGGCTACTTCCAGACTCCCCCTCATACGGTACCTGGGTCTGGGTGGTGTCCTCAGAGGGTTCCAGCACCATGGGTTCCTCCGGGTAGCTAGCGAGGGGTAGGCTTGGCAGCTCCTCTGGGTAGCTGGCGACAGGTAAGCTTGGCGGCTTCTTGGTAGCCCAGCTTCAGGCACCTAGTCAGCTCCTGGGGGGCATCCAGTGGTGAGGCCCCCAATGTCCGTGGTCACTATAGTCCAGTTAAAGTAGAGTGGGGAGAGATTCTTAGTGTGAAGACCTGGGCAGGAAGCCTATCCAGGAGAGTGCTTTAGGAGGGGTTTTGAAAGAGAGGTTGCTTGGGGGACAAGAGGGACTGCTCCAAACATGGGACGGTGTGAACCAGGGAACAAAACTGAGAGAGAGACAGAAACCATGGGAGAAGCAAGGGGAGGAGAGACCAAGGGGTGCTCAAGAGTTGCAGGGGGCTGAGGAGCAGGAGAAACTGAGAATAGAGCTGTTGGTGGGGTTGCAGCTTTGAAGATGGAGGAGTAAGAGACAGGAAGCCAGAGTCCCAGGAGTGTGAGGTAGGGCTGGGGAGTGGGGAGTAATTCGGCCAGAGCCACAGGCAATGATTTGGATTGTCCAGGGCAGTAAGGGCAGGACGTGGGTAAGAGAATTATAGTGATCGGGGCAAGAGATGATGAGCAGCCAGAGAGGGATTTTAGCAGTGTGGAGGGTGAGGGGAGGCAATGTGAGAGAGGAGGAAGTGGCAGGAGTCACCGGGGTCAGAGTCAGAGATAACACCATCTCCTAGGTCCTGAAGATGTAGAGGATGGAGAAGGGAGATGGTGGGAGGGAGCCAGGAGAGAAGATACAGAGCTCAGGTTTGCAAAGAGTGAGTGTGAGCAGATGGTGGAACATCTAAAAGGAGGTGTCGGTTCCAGATGCAGGACTGGACAGAAGAGGAGGGGCTGGGTGGAGTGGTGGATTTGGAATCCCTGCTGCAGAGGGATAGCTGACACCGGGCGGGGGGAATTAGGTCACCCAAGCAAGGAGAAGGAACAGGGAGAGGGTCACCAGCAGACAGGCAGAAGGGAAAGGACAAGGAACAATGGAAGGAGACACCAAGGGCATGTCTATACTAGAAATGCTGCCCAATACCATGGTAGCGCTGTAGCATAGACACTATGCCGACGGGAGGGGCTTGCCTGTCACTGTAGTTCATCCACCTCCCTGAGAAGTGGTAGCTAGGGCGATGGAAGAATTCTTCCATCGGCCAAGTGTTGTCCGCACTTGGATCTACATTTCATACCCCTGAGTGACATAGCTGGAGAGACCTAAGCTTTAGGGGGAGCCCAGGCCTGAGATGTGAAAGGAGCGTTGGAAGAGAACCAGGAGAGGCCAAGGAAGGAGAGAGTGACCGAGAGCATCAGAAGCCACAGAGACGCTGAGGGATGGGGAACAGGTCATGAGGCCCAGCCAGGAAGGGGAGCAGAGATGGTGCGGGGGGTGGGCAGGGAGACAAAAGCCAGACTGAAGGGGATCTAGGAGCAAGGCTGGATTTCCCATTAGGCACAGTAGGCACGTGCCTAGGGCCGCCGGCATTCTAAGGGCGCCTAAAAATTCAATTTTTGCCACTCCCGGGTCCTGGCAGGGGGCGGGGCCGGCTGAGGGGAAGACGGCGCCACACAGCCCTGCTGGAGCGCTCCTCGCTTAACCCGGTGGACACAGTCACCTCCCAGCGGGGCCAGTGAGTGTGGCCAGGGGCCAGGATGCAGGAGAGTGGGTCTCTGGAGGGGCTTGTGGGGGGGCTCTGGGCAGTGAGGGGATGGAGGACGGTGGGGAGTTTGTGGGGGATGCTGGGCAGTGGGGAGTGGAGGAGGTTTGTGTGTTTCGGGGTGTTTGGCAGTGGGGGGGGTCTGTGGGCAGAGGGGCGCTGGGCAGTGGGGTGCCTAAAAGTTAAAAGTGGCAGTTTGGAGCTCTGAACCGCTGTGAGCGCTGGGGGCCACCCCACAGCTCCTGGCCGCCATAGGGGGCCACCCCACAGCTCCTGGTCACTGCGGTCAGTGGGGGGGAGGGGGCCTGGAACTGCGAGACGCAGGCGGCAGGGGACCCTGGAGCTCTGAACTTGGAACCGGGGCCCTCGCAGCTGCCCAGCCACCAGGAGCAGTGTGGGGACCCTGCCTAGGGGCACACAAGGTATAAATCCGGCCCTGTCTAGGAGGGAGTTCTCCAGCTGCCAGGGGGTGCAGCGTGTACTAGGAGCTGAAGGGTCACGGGAAGGAGGAGATAGGGCGAGGGAGGTCAGGGCAGTGAGGGCAGCAGGGAGCGCAAGGAGAATATGAACAGAGAAGTGTTCACCTGCTCTGGCCAGGAGAGTCAGAGTTTTTTAAGGCCAGAAGGGATCACCATGATCACCCAGTCTGACCTCCCAGGCAACACATTCATTCCTGCTTCGAGTCAAATAGCTGTAGCTGAACCTGAGCATCTCTTTAAGGGGCCCATTAGTGCCTGTGGGGAGGGCTCATCTCAGCTGCGTGAAGGGCCCAGTACCCAGAAGTGGGGAGAATCAGAGGCATGCAGGGTTCTGGGCCAGTGGAGACATAGGTGGGGGCAGGTTGCAGGGCCGGCTCCAGGCACCAGCTTAATAAGCAGGTGCTTGGGGCGGCCAAGGGAGAGGGGTGGCACCTGCGGCAATTCGGAGGCGGCAGGTCCCTCACTCTCTCTAGGAGCAAAGGACCTGCCGCTGAACTGCCGCCGCCGATCGCGGCTTTTTTTTTTTTTTTTTTTGCTTGGGGCGGCAGAAATGCTGGAGCCGGCCCTGCAGGTTGCTAGGGAGAGAGGCGGGGGGCCAAAGGGAAGATCCTGTTTGCAAAGTGGCTAGAGGTTGGGGGAGGGGCGAGAGAGGAGGGCTGAGGGATGCCAGGAAGGGCTGGGGCTCAGCGCAGGCTGTGGGTGTGGCTGGAGGCAGAGAAGTGACCATAGTGAAGGGGGCCATTGGTGGAATAGTGTAAACTTTCTCCATCTCTGCGTTGTTCTGAAAGGAATAACAAGCGCCAGGCGTCTTTTCTGGGAGCCGCACTCCAGGGCTGGGGTGGAGGGAAACGCTGCATGTGCTCTTACCGCTGTGCCCGGCCTTGGCAAGGACTCAGGGGAGGAGGGGAGCCTGTGACAAGCCCAGAGAGATTTTCCTTGACCTGGTTGTAAATTATTCAGCATGTTTATCATGATCACCATTTTGACCAACTGTGTGTTCATGGCAATGAGCGACCCGCCACCATGGGCCAAGAACGTGGAGTAAGTTCCTTTCCTCCATTCGCTGCTTGGCCTCCTGATGGCACTGGAGAGGGTGGCCCCCTTCGCTGCGTGGCTGCTCCTTACAGAAATCTGTCCTGCTTATCAGACAGGGGCCTGAGGGAAAGGTGTGGAGGGGCCTTGGGAAATGGGCATGTGTAGTTTGGAGACCCCCCAGACTGAGCTGTCGCCACGTTTGTGATCTCAGAACCCAAGTTTGTGTCCTGCTCTAGACTTTGCAACCACGGGCACATTTCTGAACAGCCTCCCACCACTACTCACCGCGCCTCAGCTACAGGACAGACAGGGCTCCGAGCAGGCAGCAGGTTTTTGAGGGCTCAGCACCCACAATTTGGGGCCAGATAACCATGGCTCAGCACCCACTATCAGTGCCAGATTTTCCAAAGAGCCTCCCATTTAGGTGCCTAAACAGGGGCTGAAGTTTTCAAAACACCCAGCAGCCCCAGTGGTGACACTAATGGCCCAGACCCCGCATGCCCTCACCATGCTGAGCTCATTTGGAAATCTGGCCCATGGTGCTGAAATCAGTGTTGGTAGTGAGTGGCCCATCTGTATTAAGGCTCCCAATTTTGCTAATGCTAGCAGAGCTCAACTGCTGTCAGCAGCCATGGGAAATGACTGATAAGACATATTTTCCAACCCTTTTCCCATGAAGGTCTCAGGACCCATTTTTCCCGCATACACATAACATTTTTGCAAGTGTCTTGGATAGTTTTCCCTTTGAGCTGCTTGTCTTGTCTACTTATCATAAGTCACTGTTTCTGCTTTCAGATACACCTTCACTGGGATATACACCTTCGAGTCCATGATAAAGATAGTAGCCAGAGGATTTTGCATTGACCAATTTACATTCCTACGCGACCCATGGAACTGGCTGGATTTCAGTGTTATCGTTATGGCGTAAGTAAGCTCAGTAAGGGACATGTCACAGGCAGGAAGCCTAGCTAACCAAGTTGTAACATTGGTGGTATAGGATGAATTGGAAACAAATGTCTGGAAAATAGCCAGAGATGTTGGAGCTGGTATCATCTACACTGGGTATATACCCCAATTCCTGCACTTGATGGCCAGTCACTGAAGTAGCCACACCCCAAATGTAGACAGGGAGAGCTGTGATTGCATTGGTGGAGCTAACCCCAGTGCCAAGCAGGGTTAAACTTCACTGGGGTATATTGTGACTTTCCTTGTGTATACTTGGGGTTTTGCTCTGGTTGTTGGTCCCCTATGGCCAGGATTGGGGTACATCTCCAAAGCAGACAAGGCCCACCTAGGTCACCTTGCCTGTCCCTCTCAGTCAGGCCTGGCTTGTTACCTCACTTTGCCCAGGAAGAATCAAATTGTGCTACTTCCTACCCATATTTCTAGTCTCTCTGCAGTGAATCTCTTCCTATTATTTCTCTGTCCTCACTAGTGTTCACACCACATCCCTTCAATATCCACTGGGACCAGTTAATGTGCTGGCTACTCCCTCTTCCAGATTGGCAGTGAAGACGTTAAATTCAACCAGTCCTAACCCTGATGACTACCTCACCCCACTTCTCAGCTCCCCATGCTTTGATCTGTCAGGTTCAGCCTTGCTTCTTGTTCGCAGTCCCTCAGATGGCGTTTCCATCCAAGCAGAGTCAAATTAGTTTGGCTAATAAGGTTTAGCAAGTGTTAGAATCACAGAATATCAAGGTTGGAAGGGACCTCAGGAGGTATCTAGTCCAACCCCCTGCTCAAAGCAGGACCAATCCCCAGACAGATTTTTGCCCCAGATCCCTAAATGGCCCCCTTAAGGATTGAACTCACAACCCTGGGTTTAGCAGGCCACTGCTCAAACTACTGAGCTATCCCTCCCTCGATCACCTTCATGCAACATTCTCATTCCCGTGGCGCTGCTCCCTCATCTGAGGATCTGAAAACGCTTTGCAGGCTTGGCAGCCTCTGCGTGGGGTAGGGGCCATCAGGATCCCAACAAGGGCAGTCAGGGCCAAGGGCCAAAACATGGACAAACCTGAGGCTGAGAGTAGCCGAGGAGTTCCTGGTCAGTTCTGGGCCAGGGTCGATACCAAGGGTCAGAATCCAAGTCACTTTTCAGGGTCTGAGTCAGGTGGCAAAGTCCAGAACAAGCCGAGGTCAAGCCAAGAGTTCTAAGAGCATAGAACAGGAACCCTCTTGGACACCTGCTGGAATGCCCCTTGGGTTTGTATAGAGCCGGGAGTCAAACAGGAGCCATGAGGCTGCTGCCTATCAAACCCTTAAGGTGGTCCCCAGCAGGTCATGGGTCGTGGCACACAGGCTGGATAGAGCTGCTGCTGGGTGACAGCCTGGAGGTGCTGGCTGCCTGGTAGCTCAGCAGCCCTGGATTCTAGACCTGCAGGGCCCTCTGGCGAAGGCTCCTTCTCCCCATTTTACAGATGGGGAAAAAAGAGAGACTCTCTCCTGTAGGACAACCTGCAGGGAGGGGCAGGGGAAAGATGCTTGAGCTCTTCTGGCCTCCTCTTCACTTGGAAAGGGAATCACAATGAAAGACTATTCTGATCCACTGAGTTTGGTGACATGATGCTGTCCACCAGCAACTGGCTCCATGCAGACCAGGATAGGTGGTACCAGCTCCTGTGGGCTAAGTGCTGACCCCAGCACTGGTCCCAGGAGGCGTGATGCTGACTCCACTGTTAAATCCGATGGCATTTCCCAGGGCAGACCAGACCTTGCTAGCTGCGCAGGACCCAGTGGATTCTCTGCTCCATGAGGATGGAGTGGTGGCAGCACAGAGGGGATGCTGTAGAGTCCGACCGTCCCTGCTCCCACCAGTGGCTCTGGAACACTTTTAATAGTGGAGGTGCTGAAAGCCAGCCCCCTTACCGCATCTGTGTCTGTCCCTCCTCACCCCTCACCCTCCGCAGAACTGGGGCTGGGAGCGGGGCCGTGTCTCTGGGAGGGGGGACCCAGTCAGGGGTAATGGGACCAAGGCTGCGGCTACAGCTGGGGTCAGGGGCAGCAGCTGGGACCCCAGGCACGGGGCCAGCAGTGGAGCCCTGGGTGAGAGGCGGCAGCCGGGACACCAGGCTCGGGGCAGCAGCCGGGACCCAACATAAAACCTGGGGTGTTTCAGCACCCCCCGCACCCCTAGTTAACGTGCCTATGGCTCCCAACCTTCCCAGATTAGGGTTGCCAACTTTCTAATCGCACAAAACCGAACACCCTAGCCCACCCCTACCCCAAGTCCCTGCCCTCCGATCACTATATTCCCCCTCCCTTGGTGACTCACTCTCTCCCACCCTCACTCACTTTCACTGGGCTGGGGCAGGGGGTTGGGGTGTGGGAGGTGGTGAGGGCTCTAACTGGGGGTGTGGGCTCCAAGGTGGGGCCAGAAATTAGGGTTCAGGGTGCAGGAGGGGGCTCCGGGCTGGGGCAGGGCATTAGGGTTCAGGAGGGGGTGAGGGCTCCAGATGGGGGTGCGGGATCTGGGGTGGGGCTGAGGATGAGGGGTTTGGGGTGTAGGAGGGGGCTCTAGGCTGGGAGGTGG